ATCGAAAGTATGCCATCAAGATTAGAGCAAATAATTGAGGGTAATGGCAATAAAATAAATTATTAACTGAGCTTAGTCGAACTTTTTTATAATATAATAAAGTATTTATATTTAAATTTTCGTGAATTTTCGATAAATATTCGTTACACAATGAACAAAAATGTCATTCCGATTATTTTTTTCGCGCACTGTAAATGTCAGTAGTTCTTGTTTCGTGCGTGCTTTATCTGTGTTGAAGAAAAGATTAAAATGTTTATTATTTTGAAAATTTTTGTGATATATATTGTACGTGGGAAAATTTTTGAAATGTTTTCAAAAAATGATTGGTTGGGATGTGATACAAAATCTCCTTATCGTGATCGGCATTTAATTCGAGAGAAATGATAATTATTACATGATTGAATGAGCCCACCCTTATTAAATATTTATTAAATGAGTGAGTTGAATCCATTTATATTTAAACAAAAATTTATGCTCAACTTGAATAATTAAAGTTTATGATCCGATACATCTATGAAACTTTGAATGTAAACCGATTTTTGCAATATTTCGCGATAATATGCTTCGATTGTCATTTTAAAGAGTATCAACACTTTTTCCACGGTTGCATGGTAGACATCTTGCAGTGATTATAGGTGTCTTTAAAGAAGCTTGAAATAGAACACGAAATAAAAAGTTCGCTTCCAGGTATCTTCATCGATTTAAAAATAAAATACTTGAAAAAAAAGTGGAAAGGGAATTAGTTATGGAATCTAAGTAAAAATAGTTTCGTAGAGAGGAAATCTCGGAATATCATTTACGCTTAGGAGTAAATATCATTGAGAAAAAATTTTTTGTAATGGTCCATATTCCACGGAATGACGAGAGGAAAACTCTTGTCGATAATGATAGGGTACTACATTAAAGAAAAATAAAGAGCTTTCCAGCAGATCAAGCTTTGAAATCCAGATAGCAGCTACGGCAGAAGCAAGTTTTTTAGAAGATATTTTCTCGCTGAAAGAAATATAAAAGCCGTGACAGTTTATTCAAGGTGGGCGCGTTCATTTGAGAATTTTTTTTTTTGTGAAAAAACTACGAAAAAAAAAGAACATTTAATTCTATAAGGTACGATGAGAAAGATGTGCTCAAAAACTTGTCCGATTCTTTGTTCTTTATAAAGGAAAAAAGGATAGCCGCAAACTTTAATATATTTGTGTCGCGTGAATATTTTGCGAAAAAAAAAACGGGCAAATATTTTCGCCTTATGCAAATGCATCGTTTTTCATTTCCAAATTTGTTATTGGCCTTTATGCTTTCAATAATATATTTACCTTGATGTCATCGATCCTTTTGTGTTACGCCATTAATATGCGAAGTCCTGCTGGTTTAATCATCTCTATTAATGTAATAATCAACTTTTTCGTGATTTAGCAATACATTATTAAATATTATTATCTTCATTTAAAAGAATAATAAAACACCAGCTCGGTCCTTTGGCTATTTTTTCATCATCAAATAATGGTCCTGAGTATCGCGTTTGCGTATTGAAAAGTTTTTTGTAAATTTCATTAATTGCTGCTGAAGGAGTTGAGTAAATTTTTGCAGCTACGTCAGATTCACACACACACATTAACCAGGTTGATAAATGTTATTATTATCTTGCTTAATAACACGAAAAATAAACTTCACTTTATTAAGTTCAAGTTTAATTCTAATCTCCGGTTATTTATTGGATCGGCAATTAAGTATGCAAATAAAGTTTTAAATAAGTCGACAATTACGAATTTTAAATTGGAATTCAGTTAACTGCCAACTTCAGACGAAAATCAATTTCAGTTATGAGTCAAATATTTTATTTATGGCGCTCGCCAAAAAAAAAAAATTTTTATTGGAAAGATTTTTTTTTTGAATTTTTGATTTTTATACTTTTCAGGTATGTTTGATTGCTTGGGTTTCAACGACCAAATTTATTTTTTTTTTCCTATATCTTCGGTTTTATATTATTTTTTTTTTTTGACTTTGTTAATTTTTTTTTAGATTCCTAAGAAAGTGGCAATGAATTTTTGCTTATTGGAGTTTCAGAAGACTCAGCATATTTTCTTTTAGATTATTTTTTTTTTAGTTTTAATATTTCCTTATGCTTTTTGCTTCTTTGTTAATTTATTTCTTAGTTTCGATTGCAGCGATCGTATAATTTTTATCATTTTGTCCACTAATTTGGTCGATTAAGTTCTTCTTTCGGCGTGAATCGCTCCTAGGAAATTAGATAAAAAGATTTTTATCTTTTACTTTTATTTTATTTTATTTTATGGAACGATCTAATAACACTGTTACCTATGCCTTTCTAAAAAAATATTCCTGCACTAAATAATTGATACGATTAGAAACCTACTTGAGTTCAAACATAAATTATATTAAATAAATATATATATATTATACGTTCGTCTTTTCAAATTAAACAATACCATTAAAATCCATTTATTCGTATTTGAAAATAATTATTTTAAATAAAAATAAATATTTTTGATTTGTAATAAATGTATACACGTCAAGGATTTTAGTAGCGGAAATAATTATTTTTAAATGAATGGGTCCGAATGCAATTCGATAATTGGACATACATAGCATTCTTTGATTTAAGTGAGCAATTGAAATTTTGGACATCATCTCCAGGAGAAATCCTCGGACAATTTTTTTTTTTGTGTATTAGAATTAGTTTAGGGTTAGTTTAATGTTAGTAGGGTTAGGTTAGGATAGGTATTAGCATATTATTGGTCAAATGTCACATGTCAGAGGATTTCGTGAAATATGATCTATTTAAAATGATGTTCAATAACTCGTTAAAAATTTTAAGGTATGGTAAAACAATTATTGACTTTAAACAACGTATGGGATTGATCCCACGTAGGATAGAGACGAACCTTCCAATAGGAGAAGATTAAGGATGAATCATGATCGACCATATATCCGTTAAGTCCATCGCGAAGTCAAATTAGGTATATATTGTATGTGTCAAAAACCGCGTTCTTAATCTTCAGAGTCTCCATCAGTGAGGATGATCACCGAAATTCCAAAAAAGAAAAAAAGAATCGAATCTATTTTAGCGGCTAAGAAAGCGCGGTTATAATAAAATAGGAGGTCAGAGACGAATTTCTGTCAACAGAATTTCTTTTGAGTATTGGCGGAATGATCAAGGAAAAAAAAAAATTCCCATGTCTTCCGAAGCAAATTCACTAGTACTCTTGTTAATAAAATATGTTTAACGCGATTTTTAAGCGATTGTTTGAAGGAACTTTCCTCTGCTAATAATTGAATAATTTTAAATAACATTATCAATTCTGTATCATGAACGCAATATTTATAGATACAATAAAAAAACAATACAGATATACATAGGTAACTAGAATAATTTAAATATATTTCATAAATTTTTTTAAAATTGATGCACTTTTCCAACTACTTAAGAATAAACATTTCAAAGCTATACGTTATCTACATAATCTGGTTCATTCACATCCGGCAAAACTCCAATATTCTCAAACTTTAAGCAATCCACATATTTCGCATCCAACTCCCTAATATCACAGTTAAGGTTAATTGCGATCGCATTAAGAGATTTGCCGTTTTCATAAGTAGCGCTATTTTCTGACCCGTCAGGAATACTTTCATCAACGGCTGCATGAAGCTTAATGAAATCAAATGCTCTATTTAGCGCAAACTGGCTGATTTTTTCAAAAGGAATAACCTAAATTTTATAAAATCGTAAGAATATTATCTATTCAAAAAAAAAAAAAAAAATCCGAAGGTCGAATAAACTTACAAAAAAGCAGTGGCAAGCATCGTCATAGACCTCAAGTGTGACTTTTGTGGGTTTCTTGAATGGGGATTTATCAAAATTCTCCGTAGCGTATTTGGGCAATTGATATTTGCTTGGATCAGAAGTTTTAAAACCAAATAAAACTATAGAATCCCGAAACCTTTCTCCGCCACCTGTTTGCTATTTATCGTCATATTAAAAAAAAATAAATATGATTTGTGTTAGAAGCAATTCTTTATTTTTGAAAATTTTCTTGAAATTATATGGACGTAAAAAAGTGAATAACCTACACATAAAATGGGTGGTAAATTTCCTAAACTTTCAGCCAACATTGGACTGATATAAGGAATGGCCAAGGCCTCATTTGCGCAGTAAAGCCTAATTCTTGGAATTTTGGTAAAAGAATCGTGACCAACCACCTTTGGCTTTTTTTGCTTAATTTTATCTGATAGAATTTTGGCGCGTTTAAGATATTCAATTGACATGGGGCCTGGTGGACCAAGAGGAGGCGTACATAACCTGCCTAGCATCAAATCCGATTTATCCATTTCAGGTTCCCAGTATGATGGCATGCTGCTTGTCAAATCCACCCATGGTGACTTTGTAAATATCATCATTAATGGAGAGAAAGTTATTAATGAGGGTTGAGTAAAAATGAAAAATCAGAAACATTGACATAGATTAATGAATTGATATATACGAATAAAACAAGTCCTGATGGCAATGGTAAACCAACATCACGAAGGAACATCGCGGTACTAACAGCCAATCCACCACCCGCACTGACTCCAACAAACACAATTCGCTTTGGATCAATTGGTTCGAATCCAGCTTCCGGGCCAGGGTTAGTAAGATAGAAATACGCTGCTAGAGCGTCGCAAAGTGGCGCAGGAAATTGATGTTGTGGGGAAAGGTGATAATCAATTGCTAATGACCAAATTCAAAAAGGTTAGATGTACATTGTATTTTTCTTAAGTTAGTGAATTTCAATCAACATAACACAGAAATCAATTCTTACCAAAAACTTGACATTCAGCCTTTTCAGCGATCACGCTAGTATGACCGCGAGATACTTTAGAGGATCCCGCAAAATATCCACCACCAAAAAAATAAAGCGCTACCCTTCCCGTGATCTTAAATTTTCCATCACTATCTTCCCCTTCATCCTTAACTCTAATCCACTCTCCGTATAACCCACCATCATCCAAATCTTTCCATTTCTCATCAACAACGTCCTCGTATTTTTTCAAGCCATCCTCCAAATATTCCTTGCTTTTGATCCTATATTTGTCATCCAATTTAACCTCATTCACGATAATGCTATCAGGAATTGGTACAGTCATATCATCCATTTGATGCCTCGCTTCTTCTAAGGTCAAATTAGAACCTGAAAATTTACTTTTGATGAATTCAAATGTCTCATAATATTGTGGCGAAAACGATTGTGACATTATTGCTTTCCAACAAACTTTTCAAATACTTTGACAGGCATCATGAAAATTCATTGCGTATTTAAAGAGGTTTATGTTTATTGATAAATGAAAATGCGTTCTTATGCAATTATATATTGATTTTGTTATTATTGTTATTCTTTAAATGAAAAAAAAAAATGATAATCATTTTGATCGATTTAATCAATAAGTTTCTATATGACAAGGATTTGCAAATAATGATTATGTTAATCAATAATCCAAGTGACTTTGGCCGGTTTGAACTGTGTCGATCAATCAATTATAAGCAGACTTCGTATCTATCGCGCACTTTTCTTAATCTTCGCATAACATAATTTCAATATTATCAATTATATAATGACAGACAATGCGCAAGCCAACACATCTTTGGTTGAAAATGAACGACAGGTAAAAAAAAGTAAGCTATGCCATCCAGTTTGGCAATATCTCTCTTGGAATATGGACAAAGCTTGTTTTACTTGTAATATACAGTATCTCAATTCACCTATTGAAAACGTTAATATTCTCGCAGATTGGAAGGTAAAATCAGAAGAACCTCAATGGATTCCACTTACAAATATGGCGCTAGATTATCTGATCGTTCATGCAACAAGTGTACCAAGCGAACAGATTTTTAGTTTGGCAAAGATTACAGTTAGCTCAACAAGAAATCGCCTGAATCCAGAAAAAGTTTGCGAATCTTTTTGTCTTAAAACCTGGTTTGCAGCGGATTAATTGAGGAAAATTTTATGGAGGATAATAACAATGGTAATTAGCTGAATTATTTTTTTTATATTCAATATTTAATATTTTTATTGTAAATAATTTATCTTTTAAAATAAATTAATTATATATCATTATATAAAATGTATTGACACATAGTTATATTTTCAAATTAGAAAAAAAATTTATTCTAAACCAGATTTTAAATCTGGTTTAAACTAGTTAGCTTAAACCGAATCTCAAGTAGTTCAAGACCCGTTTCTACTAGTTTGGAGCATAAACAGAACCGATTGAGCAACTTAACATCACTAGTGACAATTAAGGAATTTATTTATTTAACCTTTACGAAAAAAGGGTCTTACACATTTTGAAAAAAGTCAAATTATAGTTGCAATAAAATTGAATATACTGTATTTTATGGATATTGTATGGTGTTGTATTTATATTGGTTAAACGTTATCCAATGCAAACCATATTATCGTATGGCTAATGCAGACAGATCAGGCTCTAAATAAAGTTTATTTAATTATAAACATTTTTTTTCAAACAATTTCTTGCTTTTATTTCTTAAATAAAATTTTTCTTTATTATTAATCTTTAATAACAGAATTTACGAAAAACTTTAGTAAGTTTAAGTTACAATATTACACAATAATAAAATTTTTTTAATATTATTTAAAATGATTTTCGGAAATGAGGTTTCAAATGATAATTTGGAAAAAAAGGTTAATTTCTTCTGCGAAATTGGAAGTTAAGAATACTGAATATTCTACCAATAATTGGATACGTGCTGTAGAAAAATTTCGAGCTAAAACTAGAGGAAATATCTGATATAATAGCAATGGATTCTCAATTATTACAATATTTAGCAGCAAAAACAGAAAAACATCAATGAATATTCTGTTTCTTCAATTAAAGCAGCTGTTTCAGCAATTTATCGTCATTCACACCAACGTTCAGTCATAACAAATTACAATTTATTAGCTATGATTACTCAATGTTAAAAATCAAAATTGGATCATTCAAAAAATCTACGCGAACTATTACAAGAAATGATTTTAGTAATACTAATTTAGAAATTACTATAAATACTTAGTAATTTATTTGATTTGATAAATAGTGGAGCTTTACAAGTTAATTTGAAAATTTACATTACAGATTCTTAAATTTTTACTATACTTTTGATGCCCAATATTATATGCAAATAAACTATTAATATTCACATAAAAAATATTGGTCCAATAAACTCAGCATGATCCTATAGGACCATGTGATAATAATGCTGAAAGTGTATAAATATAACAAATTAACTTTTTAATATATATTTTTTAAATTATGCACTTGTTTATTAAAATAAATTTGTACACAATTATAAAAAATAATTAACCGTTATAATAAATAATTAACCCTGCTTATAAAATACTTATAATGTATGACTTATCATAAATATTTCCTTATATAAACTACTTTTTATTCAGTTTCAAACAATTCTAAATTCATTTTAAAGGTATTAAAAAATAGTGTCCAAAAAATAAACTTTTTTAAAATCATATTAGTTCTACAGTATTGCATTAATTAATATGATATTCTTTTACCATTTTTCTTAATAACCTTTCTACAATACAGTGGCATTGAGTTTACAAGATTAATTAGAAGACTATCTGAAATTTTTTTCAACTTCTCTTCCAGAAAAAACTCTTTAATTCATTAAAGTTTTTTGGCCTATGCAATTTTACATTATTCTTAACAATTCCTAAAGTATTCAATAGAATTCAAGTCTGCTAGTATTCTTAGAATCATTATCTTGCTAAAGTCAACATCCTATCTCATAAAATACTGTACACTTTTGAAAGTTATTTTTCTAATATTTCTATATAAAATATTTTTATTCATTATGTATCTAAAATATATAGCTAGTGATACACTTTATTTAAAACTACCTCAAATGTAATTTATTTCAATCTTTTAGTATTAAATGTATTGGTCTTCATTTTTATATCAATGATTATCGTATTATAAAATAATTTGAAGGATATTCATCACTAAATAAAGTATCATTCTTATATTTTTAAATTTATTCAGCTTATTTTACTTATGGACAGAAGTTAATATTGGTATACAATAAGGAAGTGCATTTTGGTATATCTAATGCCTTAAAACAATTGAGTAGATCCTATAACTTTTAATTTATCAGCAAATGACCAAGCAGAAATTAAAAGGTTGTTTTCAAATATATTATCAAATTATCTAAGATCTTTTTTTAATGAAATCTTTGGCAAACTTTATATTTCAATAGCATTTTATTTTCTTTACTTCTAAGAATATAATATTATCTTTCATTGTATTTTCTTATCTTGATAAAGTTATTTATATTCAATAAAATATACATTTGTTAATCAGAAAGGTTTCATTAAAAGATGATTCACTACAATAGAAACAAACTATTTTATTTTAATTAAAGTTCTTTAAATTAAATTTCTATCTAGGTTCTCCTTAAAAAGATTTTAAATTAATTAATAAATGATAACACTAAAAAATATTTATTTTTAAGAAATTTAAAGGATTAATTTTTTAGAACTTACATAATAAATTTGCAAATATTTTACAATATTATTTTTCTTAATAATACTTCTATTTTCATTAATTATGATAGATAATTTATTGTAATTATATAATATTTATTTTAATCATTTACATAAATAAAAAAATTATTTAGCTAATTTTTTTAAACAAATTTTTACATATAGTCAACTCTTATTATAACGAATTCTATATTCTAAACCTTAACTTCGCTATAAGACTATAGTAAAGATTTTAAGAGATTAGATTAGCCAATTTGCTATAACAAGAGTATTTTTATTATATTTATTCAAAAAATTTATTATATCAAGAGTTGACTGTAGTTTGATTGTCAAATATAAAAAATTCAACTTTTTTACATAATCTTAAATCTTTCCTTTATATCTTACAATATTTTTATTAAATTTTTAATTGTAACTTCATTTATTTTTTTAACTTTTGATTTTTCTATTATTTTATTACTCAATTGTAGTTTTAATTAATTAGAATAATACAGATTGGCTATATGTGTAGATTTTATGTTTAAGTATTATATCTAATCTTGTATTATCACGCTAAAAATCTAATTTAATGTTTATATCTGAAATTAGAATTTAACTAAAATTAAAATAGTTACACAGAAATTGACCAATAAGATTATAATTAAAATTGGAATTTAAATAATAAAAAGGGTTTCTGAAATTGGAATTCCAATGAAATGATTTTGATAAAAACTTTTAAAATTTGAAATACCAAATGAATAAGGCCATCTGAAATTGAAATTTTTGAAATTAAACTTTAGATAGAATCTGAATTTTAGATACAATGTTATTTGAAATTGAGATATTTGAAATTGAACTTCAGATAAAATCTGAATTTTATACAAATTATATATTATAAATTAAAATTAAAGTAATATGAAGAATCTATTATTTATATGTACAGTATATAAGCAATTTATTTTAATAAATAAAATTTTTATGATTTTTAACTGTTTCTTTATTTATATTTTTTACACTTTATTATAATAAAAAAAATTAACATTCCTTTTCTCTATAAAAATATTTATAAAAAGTTAAGTAATTTCATTTTAAAATTTGTTTCTTATCTTAAAATAGAATAATTATACAGGTAATCTTAAAAGTAGAAGTTCCTTCTTTTATTTACTTTCTGCTATTTTAAAAGAATTAAAAAGAAAAGAAAAAAAAATGTGAATGTTTTTAACATTTTATACTATCTGAATGATTATTTTTTTTTGGTTGATCACTTCAGTTTTAAAATTTAAAAAAAACCTGAAAAATATATAAAAATGAAACTGAAGTAGTACCTAATGTGATCAAAAACCTACATAAAAATAAAATAAAAATAAACTAAAAAAAAAAAGAAAAATAAATAACCCATAAAAGAAAAGAAAAAAAAATAATATTGGAATTTAATGCTATAAAATTTAATTAATAAATACCACGAAAATATATTATAATTCAACTAAAAGCTAAAAGTCTGAAATATAAAATATTAAATGTAACAGTAATTACAAAATTGTCAAAAAGAAATTGGTATATTGTGATTGAATAAAATAGTTTTTTTATAAGTTGTCTGAAGTTGGAATTCAGATAACAAAAAGGGTGTCTGAAATTGGAATTTGGAATCTTAATTTTAGACACAAAGATTATCTGAATTCTAACTTCAGATGAAAATCATTTATTTAATTTTGATTTTCGTATATATTTTATATTTTTTTTTATTTGATATATATAATACATTAATGATATTATAAATAAGTAAAAAAGAAAATAATTAATTTTTTATATATCACAGTTCCTAATTAATTGCCGTGACTTTTTTTTACTGATATTTTTTATGATATTCTCATATTATATAATATTTGAGTTTTCAATTAATAATATACATATATATTATTTCAATTAATTATTTTTATGTAAATAAAAACATTTAAGAATATACATTATAAAATATTGGTATTTTATCTAAAGAATTTGAAAACAAAGAAATTTTTTGAAAAGGAATTTGCGATTTTAAAGAATTATTTGATATAATTGAATTATTTTGTTTATAAATGTCTGTAATATTAATCAATGTGTTTAAAGTAGTTGTTATGTTCATTAAATTTTTTATAACCATAAACCCCTTTTATGAACCAGTATGTTATTATTAAGATCCATTAAAGAAACAAGATATCTAGTATTTATTAGCACGAAATTCTTCAAATTTTGTCATTCAGTTTTTAGTAGATTTTTCAGTATTTTTAACATTTGCTTTTTTGTGATAATAGGAAGCCTTTTTTTGAGCAATGTCTTGGAAATTATTTGTAGTAATGTTCTAAGAGATTAAGTTAGCTGCTGTTTGAAAACTTGGAAAGGGTTTGTTAAAATTGCAATAGGATTTTTTTTATTTTTATTACCCATGATATTAAAGTGAAAAGGAAAGATGAAAATAAAAAAAAAATGAAAATGTAAAAAAAATGAAAATAAAAGGATAGTAGGAAAAAAACAATGGTGGATTAAAAAGCTTAGCTTATTATAGTTTAATGTTGTATGACGAATCTGTAATATAAAACAATTATTTCACGGAGTCACTATGAAATATCATGATTCCCCGTAAAATAATTATTACAAATTAACTATTCATATAATTCTTATTAAAAAAAAAGAACTATCCTCCTCATTTACTCCAAAAAGAACCCTCCAAGAAAAATTACCTAATAATTGCAGAAGTGTTCCGACCCAAAGAAAAGATGGCGCAATTTCTAAAATAAAAAAGGTAGAAAAAA